CGTAAAGAATGAAAGTGGTCGGTCCGAGTCACCTACTTTTGCATTTCTGCTCGTTTGTCAACGGCATCAGGCGGGTGTGATGGGCTGCAGGGATTCTCAGAACGAGGCTGGCTGGTCCGGCGGGGTGGCCGGCCCGGGTTTAAAAGCGTTTCGTTGTAAACAGCCATGTTACTCGCGAATTCGGCCACCTAATTCCTTCGAACGGTGACGCGTGATCGTTTCTCTCTTTTATTCCTTTATGTACACCCGCCTCTATCGGTTCGCTTGAAAACGATTGAAAACGACGAGGAATATATTGTCATTTATACACTGACGTTCAAGAATTAAATGACCATAATTTTGGAAGGAAATTAATTCTTGAAACACGCTACCAGCTAGAAGTTTAGATATAGTTCTGTGAAATACATACTCCAAATCTTTTATATTTATCTTTGATGACAAAATTTTTGAACTGCGGTTGTTACTGTATCAAAAGTTCGTAGAATCTTTGTTGCGCAAAGTATTTTTCCGTTTAGTATAGTGGTAATATGCATTAAAGATAGTATTTCAGCACACACCACGTACAGAAAACAAAACTGCATAGCGAAGTATCAAAGTAAATATCAAATAAAGACGCAGCAGAAGCGTACTCAAACTTTCGACCAGTACTGTGTGTTTTGATTAAAAAGGAAGTTAATATAATGACTGGTGTTGTTGAGAAGTAGTAGTTTCCAGACGTATATGATCAGACGCAAGGAACTCAAGAAATTCAACACCGACAGCTAATGTTTCACTTTCCATAACAAAGTTCTTCCACCGCCTGCGAGTAATCTTCTACCAGCTTTTACGAGGTTTCAGACTTCTCCCCACAACGAGTTCCTTCTTTTTACACCAGCTACAATCTTCACTATAATTCTCGTTTCACGTACCAATCGCAGACTTGTAATGTCTATTCAGATTCAATCGTCGTCTTATCCTCAAAGAATCTTCGCAACGCGTCCACATCCTGTAATCGTAACAAGAGAATCAACGAAATCATTCGTATTCATTTCCTATCCACTCGAGAGCACGTTTCTTCCGTGCCATTTGGCCACGGAGAAAATGTAACGAAACTTCCAATACGGCCGTCATTATATCGTGAACATCGCCAGCCGAAAATGGAGCAAAGAAACACTGAAAGTTGTCGTCAACTCGAGCCAACCCTCCTCCTTTATCCGATTATCATCGATATCAAAGACTACTGGAGAGGGTGCTCTCGATAGAGCCACGGAAGAACCAACGTTCTCTCGCGCGGGGGCGGTCACTGTGAATAATTATTCGCAAAGCGGATTAACTTCTTCTCCGCTTCATCTGCTCGCGAGGAATCCTAAGTAGCTTGAACTCGCGCCGCGAGATTCCGATTCTTCGAATCTTTTTTCCCCTCCTCTCTCCCTTTCTCCACCTCCATCCGCCTTTCCCGCGATGTTGCGAATGTCCACGCTGTGCTGTTTTAATTCGCCCCTCTCCCTCTCCCTCGCGGAATAACGAGCTCTCCGCCAGTCGGGTCGCGTTTCCAGTTTGCGAGTAGCCGGCCGACCGCCGCGAAATCCGCTTACCTCCGTTTTGCTCGCGCAAAGCGGCCACGGAACGAGCAAACCGAGCTTCTTTCTTTCCACGGAGAAATCCACAGCGAACGACGCTCGTCTCTCTCTCTCTCTCTCTCTCTCTCTCTCTGTATGTCTGTGTATGCGTGCTCATGCAACAGGAGAGAATACTATGGCGCTCGTCACACGCCGCACAGCAAACTTTCGCATTTCATCCCGGTCATAAAGAAAGAGAGAGAGAGAGAGAGAGAGAGAAGGGTCGAGACTCTCGAGGATCCCCGCAGGTCCGAGGAAGGAAAAACGATGGACAATCGCCGGGTCTGCATCGCTTCGAGGAAAAGTACGCCGCCTCTCGAGCGACCGAGTTGAGAAACGCAGTTCAGAAGCGTCGTGTTCTCCGAGTAATAATACGTTTCGCCGGCGCAACGTTTAATCAACAGCGTAGTTCCCGCTGTAGACCCTCTCCTGCTTGCCTTTGAGCAAACTTTTCACGCGGCTCGATGAAAAATATTTATTGCGCCCGTACATTCATCCCATCCTCGCGCTGCCTTTTGCACCTCGTTTTATCCACGACGACGTGACGGTGTTTCGCCGAGGGGAAACGAAAGCCGCGACGCTCCGGTCTTGGGCGAGTTTTACGATGGAACGGACGGAACGAACGAAAATACGAAAAAGTACCCTCGGCGTGGAGCGATTGAAGGAGAAGGGAACGCGCCGCCGGTGAAAGTTAAACACTGTCGTCCAACTGTTGCTCGAGTGTCTGACTAATATATGATACAGCTACTTAATTGCGAATTCTAGAGTCTGACGTCAAATATCTTTGTTGAATTAGGTTAATCTTTCTTGGGTGGAGAATATGGCATCATCTCGTGCGCGTAATCTCGAGAGTATAGCGTCACTTGCATGTTTTATACCCGTCTCTGGGAGAAATTCTTTTCATTCTCTTTTGAGAATGTGAAAATTATTATTTCATAGTCAGGCAAGCGAAACAATTTTCGATAATTATTTAAAAATCGAATTTGAAAGTGCGAGGGCCATTAACAGCAGAATTTGGGGAGACGAAAATTATGAATTTAAATGGAAGGTTTCGAATATCATTTTGTAAATTGTCTTTGCCAATTCAATCTCAGTCACTGATCCTTTAACTTTCCTAGCTAACTTTCATCTGTATAAATGTACGAAAACAGGAGGACAGGAAACGTGAAAAGACTTGTAAGCAAAGGGCAAGTGTTATCACCTAAGGATAGATGATCGTGAAACCGATCATAAATTCCATCTTCCACAGCCGACAGCCAGGTGTCTTGCTTTTTGTTTACGAATGATATACGAGTGAAATCCACCGTTCCTCAGCACGATATCCGGAGAAATATGTCGGTGTCTGTCGCTGGGAAAACGGTACGTGCTCGAGTACGATCACGAGTATCGACGCGAATTGAAACTAACTTGCTCGCGATAGAATCGAAACTTGCAACACGAATGAAAAGGGATAAGAGGAGGCACGTGTAGCGAGAAATAGAAGAAAAAAACAAAAAGAGGAAAGAAGCGCATCTTACTCCGTTTTGACAGCGAGTGCAGGAAACGTGAAGTCGAAAGCGTGAAAACTCGAAGCCACTGATTATCCATGCAATCACCGTGGAGTCGATACTCCTGACAACGCGGTTCGCTCGGTGTAATAAAGCGGAATGGGGAAAAAAATCGGTCGCGACCTAAATCTTGCGCGGCGGCACCCTATCACTCGACGCATCAGCGAGCTCGTTAATGATCGTTTTAATATATGCGATGCGATTCGATACCGCCGCGGTGGAAACGTTACTTCTTCTCCCCGGGCGCGGCAGACGCGCGGCAGGAATTAATTAAAAATCCCATCAGCCGAGGGAAGATTGTGTACTTTAAATCGGCAAACGATTTTCATCGGCGAATAAATTGAAATCGACCGGGGGAACAGTCTTGTCGTACTTGTCCGACTACTTGTAGGAGAGGCGTTTTCTGTTTGAGATCAAACGGCACGAGTGGATACCCGTTACAGAGGAAGTAGGTTAACGTATTTAAAATCTCGATACAAAGTGACTATGGGATAGATGTGGCCTAGAAAGATAGGAGGAGAAGAAGCGCGCGTCGTCGCTCTCGCGACTCCTCTCGGTACACCCGGTGAAGTAACCGATCGCTCGAAACCGAGAATCGGACGAAGAAAGATTGAAAGGAACCACCGGCTCGAAGCAACCGAACCGTCGAAAGAAGAAAATAATAATTATTATCGACCGGCGCGGTTGCGAGGCGGGAACTTCGAAAGTAACGATCTCGTTATCGTTTCGCTCGGAGAGCCGAACGACTTAAGATAATAAGTTTGCTCGGCAGGGAGGAGAACGTAATAAGGAACTAGAGTAATCTCTCTTTCCCTCTCTTTCTCTCTCTCTCTCTCTCTCTCTCTTCGGTGAAAAGGAAATAGTATTCTCCACCCTCTCTCCTCGACCACTCAACTTATTAATTCCGTTAATAATTCCTTCATCCGATTTGACATACCGGAGAGAGAGACATCGTCGCCGATTCTCAAAGAGATGACATCGACGATGCGAAAGAGAGGAGAGGGAACATCGATGGATGGAAGTTTTTGTCGTGGTGTTTCAATGCAAGAAACGTCCGGGAACGCTGGACTTTTCTTCTCGTCGAATCCTGTCAATTGATTGGCTTACCTCGCGGACGTCAGCGGGATGAAAGTTACGCTGGCGACTCGCGGGCGGAGGAAAACGACAACTGCGGGGGAAAGAGGCGAAAGTAGAGAAAAAGAGAGAGAGAGAGAGAGAGAGAGAGAGAGAAGAATCGGAAGAATCGAAGATAGCACAGCGACGTGGCTGTGAAAGATCCGACGCATCGAGCGAGGGATTTCGGAACTTCTACGGAAACTTGGAGCGAGCGAAGCTACGCTGGAACGTCATCTACGCGAAACTTTTCGGTCACTGCACATTGTCCGGAGAAATAAACGGTGCAAGAGATAAGGAGGACAAGAGGAAAGAAGCAATCTCGATGAGAGATTCACCGGCTGGGTTAGTCCGTCTCTGTCCGACGGATGACGTCCAGGATCAAGCTCCACCCACACACACACACACACACACACACACACACATACCTGCGACTAGCACACCACGTAATACCCAACATACACGCTAACTCGTGTATGTACACACACGTAGGCAACATGGTACATGAGCAAATAGACATTCGTGTAAGAGAAATTGCGAACGTACATATATATATATTTATATGTATTATATATATATATATAAACATCCACGCGACACATCTACACGTTCATCACCAGATGCACACGATTTCCTTCGAGATGATCGTTTCTCTCTCCGTTCCAGCCATCGTGTGTCTCGGATCATAGACATAGACAGGATCATTCCTATATAATCAAACATGTGAATGAAGCCACTGTACCTTCTCTGGAGTGATGAGCGGCGTGATGTACGTGGTGACCGCCGTCGTGTACACTTTTCGATGACTGCTGGGTGCTGCAGGTCACTCAGTACTGCCGCGAGTACCGAGTGCCGTGCGATCAACGCTATGGCCTTCCTCCGCGAGGAGAGGAACTGACAATCGAGAGACCGACGGTGTCTCGTGTCGGACGCTCGCGCTTTCTCAGCACACGCGCGTGTATCTTGCTCACCACGGCTTTCGATGGACGTGAACGTCGCGATCGCTTCGTGATAGTTCTCGTGCGTCGATCTGTCCCCGTTTCAGCCGACGATCGCTCGTCAGACAGCTGCTGCACAGATCGGTGCCACTGTTAACGACGGCTGCGACGTGAACGCGATGATCGTATTCACAGCTGGCGACGATCGAGCAGCTCGACGACGACACGTACCGATCCTCTTGATCAAGCAACACGGCTTACATTCGCGCGCGATACACACTTGTCACGTCGTGATGATGTCGCTACTCGCGGACACTGCAAGATCGGAGCGAGCGGGCCTGCAACACGCGTGAAACAACGAAGCGAAAGAACGGAGTGACACACTGCCAGAGCCACACGCCGCAGCTGACGAAACGATTTATCCTGCACCTGTCGAACACCGCGCGCGTGATTATTCTTTCAGTCAGTTGTTGTTGTTGTTGTTGTTATTGTTGTTGTTGTTGTTGTTGTTGTTGTCGTTGTTGTTTGTACGTCTTTGAAACAGACGAATTCGGGCGCCGATCGAATCGCTCGTGTTATCCTGTACAAGGGCTTGTGTTATCCTGTTTCTTTCGTCCTCCTCTCGCAGGCAGCAGGAGCAGCAGCGTGCACGAACGAAGACGGGGACGAACGAGAGACGGTCAGGCAACGAGAAGATTAAAAAGAGAGAGAGACAGATATACAATCCGTGGAGCACCGAGAGGCAGGTGGTCGTTGTCGCGCTCCTTGTCGCCGTGCGTCGAGTTCAATGCTGTACGCTGTGATGCCGAGAACGGAATGGGGCGACCGTGGAGGCCCGGGCAGTGGAGCCGTAGCGAGGGGAGGTAGAGGAGCCGCGCGATACCCGATGGTGGGGTGCACGCTCGCGGAGCGAGGGATAGAACAGGGAGGGGCCCCTTTCCCCTTGCCATCGGATTTCGCCACTATCAAGCGACTGCTACCCCTCCGAGGCGCGCAGGCGCCCCCGGGGCGCTGGCGTCGCTCGAGGGGGATAGCGCCTCTCGATTTTAGCAGGAGGAAAGCTCGCTGGTGCGACCGGGATGGAGAAACGCCGAGAGAGCGTCGGTCTGTTTCTCCTTCTCGCCCGTTTCCTCTTCCTTCGCGTTCGTAGCGCGAGCCACCCCAGCATCGACCGACAGCGCCGCACGCCACGCCGCGTCGCGCCACTCCGCGCCACTCCGCGCCACTCCGCGCCACTCCGCGCCACTCCGCGCCACTCCGTGCTCCTCCTCGCCACGCCGACCCAACGGGAATACTTAATGCCAGCAGAGAGCCTGACTGCCTGACTGCTCCTCCTCGCCACGCCACGCTCGCTTGACGGCGGGATAGAAACGGCGGGTAGGGGCAGAACGCTCGAGTGGAGTGAACACGTCAGGGGTGGCTCGGGGTGGGGGAGGGGAGGGGTGGGGGAGGGGAGGAGGAGGAGGAGAGGCACGACGCCGGATTGTGCTAGCGAGCATCGTGTTGCACCGATGCCGAAACGGTGCATTTTCGGTGCATGACTACTTGTTACGCGTCCGCGAGCTAAACTCCTCGCATCATGCGATATTGAATGAAGTGTTTCTTTGCCGCGGATCCGGCCAACCAGACTGTCGGACAAGTCTGAGCGCGAGATATCGTGCCGTGTTTCCACCGTCTTTCACATTATCCGCGTACACCGGTATCGTTCCGACGAGAAAACCTGCGGAGGCACTGGTGATCGTACGAAAAATCCAACGCAGCGATACTCGCGATTACTTTGCTATCGTTACACCGATAGAAGTATGTACGTAGTCGCAAGTCACGGATAACACGTTAATTCGTTTCTCTCTCTCTCTCTCTCTCTTTCTCTCTCCTTCTCTTCCGCACACTCCGAAGACACGGACCATCGACGTAACGTCTTGTTCATTGACGCGAGTAACCGAACGTTAACGACCAAGTTGAGTCTGCAAGTGGTACGAACTCGCGCTCGAGGAGCCTCCGGTCTGACCAATATTGACCACCACTACTTCCGACGGAGCCGAAAACCAGTCACTTCGGCAGGCTCTCTCTTTGGCTGGCCTTTGGCCAGTCTTCTCTTTCGCGCGCGTCTCTAGCAAGTCGGTGTAAACGTATCCTACGCTTAACGCGGAAGGAAGGGGCTAACCTAACCTAGAAAGATTTCATTGAGCTGCAACGTGACTTGGCTTGGTGCCAATACTATGAACGCTACGCACACCCGCGCGGCCGCGCCTTGATCCCAGCTCTATTCCCAAGCACGCGTTTCGTGAGAAAAAGAGAAGGAGAGAGAGAGAGAGAGAAAGAGAGAGAGAGAAGAACCATCTCTCCAGAAAATCGAAATTGCACGATTCTTGTCACATTTCGCTGTTTTTCTTTAATATTCCCGAGCTAGAACTAAGAAGGAAAAAGGAACAAGAATTTTCTTCCCAAGTTCGTTCGTAAAACGCGACGCGAAAAAACGCAGTTAACTTAATTAATTCTTTAACTTGCTCTCTTAATCGCGATTCTTATCAGCTAGACCATCGATTTACAGCGAATTTATTTCGAACTATTAAAGCACCGGCTTGCAGGAAGTCTGCGAGGCGCTGATAACTTGTTGCAGCGAGCCAGAGGCGGCAAGTATTAAATCGTTTAAAAAACTTGCGAGCCCCGCTCGTTTCGCCTTTCACTTTCACTATCGCCCGACGACAGCCAATCTGTACTTTTCTCTCTCTCTCTCTCTCTCTCTCTCTCTTTCTTTTCTTTTTTCTTTTTCTCTTTCTTTTCTCTTCTTTTTTTTTTCTTTTTCCGAGTGTACCACGATCTCGTCAGCCGATATAGAGCTTCTTTTGACAAGAAGGGCTGGAAAGTGAAGGATAACTCGAGAGAAATAACGCGACCAATAACTTCTGCCGCTGTCGCATTTATTCTCTGTAACGTCGCGTACAATTGGTCGCGAAATATTGCGGAATAGGGCCGCGACCCGACCTTATTAGAGCCCCGGTGTTGCTTGTTCTATAAACGAGCGATGCCAGAGGTGTTAGCAACACAGGGAACATCAACTTGCTATTCCGGGATGATAACGGTTGCGTGGCGAGGCGAGCAGGAGGAACGAGAAGGCGGAAGGTGCTGGTGTATTCAGTATTTGGCTTACATCCAACGCAAGATGCTGAATGAACTTGGCGGGAAAACCACACTGGCGTGTGCTTCCTTCTGTCGTGCGAACGGCGCAACTACAACTGTCGTTGAATATCTTCTCCACAATGGAAGATCTGTTTAACGCTCGCAGACTACCCTCGGTGTTCTGCCATGCGCCATTACACTCTCGTGTGAATTCTTATGGATTGCTTCGGTTAATGGTAATATCCTCGAAGGATACAAATGTGTATTTCGGTATCGTGATAGAGGATGATTGATGTGACTTGGAATACTGATTTTGGCTAATGTTTATTCGCGCAGGCATCTTGAAAATGTGTGCAAATTATTGGTGAATAAATACGTGGTCAATTCTTTGCGATACGTAATAGTTAGTGTAGACTAGCAGGTTTTCCATTGCTATGATGAACTTTTGAAACCAAAAGAAGGTAAAAATTTCTTTTACCAAAAATTCAAAATTTGTTTCTTATTTTAAAAGTTAGTACGTATAAAGTAATTTATCTGAATGCAGAGAAATATCGATTCACTCAAGTATATATATGTATGTATTCGTTGAAATAAAATCCGGGGATTTTATTAAATAAAATAGAGTTGTAAAAAGTTAACAGATCGTCAAAGTCAATTGCAACATTTATTTATAAAAAGACGGACGTATCTATCTTCTGTAAATAATGCATCAATAATGCTGCTACATCGAAGTAATTAATTTCAATGAGTCCAACGTATCTAAAAAAAATGCAGTCAAATAATTTTTACATTAAAATCGCTCAGTAACTTGGAGCGAATAAGGGACTCGAGTCTTTGAAATCGACGAACATTTCTAAAAATTCATCTATCTTTACCGCTAATTAGAGAGCCAGCATACCAGATTCTCGAACACCTGAGATTTTTCTTTTTTACGGATATTCGCGTGCAGCCGGGCAGAAAAAGCGATAAAATTTCGCCAAAGCGATTTCGAAATTTCGGGACGCAGAAAGTTATTACCGAGGCCGAGTGTGGGAAACGAGGAAAGTTTTACGCGCGGCACGAGCGTGCAAAAACATGAATTCTTTCACGAACGGCGTTACGTCACGAAATTAAAGCAGGGACGTGCGGCCCGTACATTTTCATGACCGTGAAGATTAGAGTACACATATTCTCTCTGTCTCTCTCTCTCTCTCTCTCTCTCTCTCTCTCTCTCTCTCTCTCTCGGACGGTTGAAGAATTTAAACGATCGACGTGATCCCGGGTGGCCAGTTCGAACGTTCCAACAATAGTCATTACTCTGGGGATTGTCAACTGCCAAGGATGACGTGTAATCATGATATTGGAACATAACCGAGTTATCAGGACGTAGGATGAGTCAGCCCTTTCCTCCAGAGTCCCGATCGGTCAGCCTGCGCTGCATAAGCTTCACGAGCATGTCAACACGCTGTTTGCGCAGTAGCAACAGTAGCAACGTTCTATTGGAATTGTAGCGAACAGCGTAAAATGATAAGCTGGGCTACAGGTTGTCTAATTGGCACCCAATGTTCACAACGAATAGAATCTGAAATGGAATTTTGCATGGAGTAATTTTCAGCTTATTTCATACGAGATTCGTTAGACTCGTAGTGTTACTTGTATGTTCAGTCAAAAAGCAAGTGTAACATAGTAAGTGTCGTAACATGTACATGTTTTATAATAAAGTATACATATATACAAATGTATATACCACGTATCTAATGTGCGGAAGAAGTAATTTTTAAACCTCAGAGAAGAATTAATTCAACCGTGATAATTACTCATGGAAATATATGCAGTGTTTGCATATTGCATTTTGGTGACGATTTTATCGAAGAAATTGACTGCGTCAATTACCTTAAAGAATCATTTTAAAGCCTCAAGTAAGCTGTAATAAAATATAACCATAGAATTCGATAAATCAGAGAAAATGATTGCAACGACCAGAAAGAAATACCGAGGTATCGAGGTATCAAAAGTAAAAGAAGATGCAAGATTTAAACGAGAAAACTGTAAGGAAAAGTTACTCTTTAATGAAAAAGAGAAAAAGAAGAAAAAGAAAAAAAAAAGAAAAAACAGAAAATCGAGGACCTTTCGAATCTGCAATTTAATGACCGAGTGACATCTGTGTCTGAAGGAATAATATTATACGTTGAGAAAACTTGACTTTCCATTTTCCCGGACGGATTACTAATTCCACGCGAAGCTACGTCGCGTCGCCGAGCCGCCATACCACCGCCGCGTTTCCAGGCTGCATCGACCGAAAAACGGGGTTTCCCCCTTTTCAAACCGCGATCCCTGCGATCGAACAAAAGCCTGGGCCAGTTTAAACAGCTAAGTGCATCACAAAGCGCGCGAGCAAAAACGCTCCGCGCGTTCCTCGGCTGTTTACGTAACCGAGTCGATAGAACGGTGTCTCGGGCCGTGTGCTCCGGGAAACATAAATTATAAACGAAAAGAACAGTGGAAAACTTTTCGTCCTCCGCCGTCTACCCCGGCGATAGCCTCTCATCCCCGGCTGGCCCCGGCGCGTCGCCGCCTTCGATGCGCTTCGGTATTTGTCTCGACGACAGTACAAGGGCAGCATGTTTTCGTCGGCGATGAGGAAAACAGTCCGGCGGAGGAGTTTCGAATCCGCCGCATACGGGATGAACACAGAACACAGGACAGCGGAAGGCGGAAAGCGGAAGGCGGAAGGG